AGTAACACCTATTCATATGCCAATGTAATATTCCTGATTTATTTATATGTTGTATCGTTAAATATTTTATTTATGATTTATCAAGTCGCTTTAATCATTTTACAAATGAGAAAAGTGATGGTGGTGATGTTTTCATTATATTAACACATTATTAGGATTACTTTATACTTATGTATAGAAAGAGTTAAATACGCAATATAATGTAAAGAACTAACTACATTTGGTACAAGAGACCTTTATCATACAAAAATGTAGACAGACTTGAAAATAGCCCCTTTATTTCTCTAAATAATCCCTGTATTTTGTTATATTATAATAAAATACTTATTCTATAAAATTATCTTCTAAGAGAACATTCAACCAAAACGAGCTTCAACTCGTACCCAATAAAAATAAAATGATATAAATATAGGAAATTTAAGCACTATTTTAACAAAAAAATTGACACATGAACTTTTAATCTAATTTCTTAAAACGGCCCTTAAGTACAGTGGGACTGACTTATCCAACTCTAATGTTATACGCAATGTTATTAGAAAAACGACATGAAAATGACACAGACAGGGGTTATTAACATTTTATTGAATTCGATTTCGGAGCATTTGAACTCGGAGAATAAGTAAACTTTGTTTGATATGTGAGAGGCATCGTAAAATGACGCTTAGGTGAAAACTCCCACATACGACGAAATCAAAAAGATGTCTTTTTGACACCGGAAGTAAAAGACAAGGGCAAAAGTTTAAAGGGATAAGGCCGGTCACATACATACGGAATTCTGCTTCGTGATTCCGTGAATACATCACACACATACGTTTATTTCCGTTTGGAATAACAAGGCTCAGTTGAGAAACGCCAGCAAATAATGACGACAATTTTCTGATTGCGATTCTATTGTTGCTGTATCATTGTTACTGGGTGCATCCCCTTATCACCCTAAGCTTGCAATATAGTCAATATTATGTAAAAAGCTGCTGGTTCAGATTTATTAAAAGTACATTTTTACGTAGATTACGGACCGCATGAGGGGATAAGAATATACTATTTCACGATACTGCAAATGTCCCAAGTTCGGGCTACAGGAAGAACGTGAAAGAAGGCATGTGCACTCACCTGAGCTTATCTGCTTCGTGTTTCCAGCGGCTGCGTTGCACGTTGGTTGGATGCCGGCTGTCTTCACATATATAACTTTCATAGATTATCGCAAAATATAGCGTTATTGTAAATGAATAAACACTTCGTTATGTTCTTATATAGTACAATATCTAAACCACACAAAGGGGGAAGCGATCACGCGAGACATAGGCGATGCGATTGTTTGCGAGTCTTGAGAAAACTATTCTGCCACATGGCAAAATAAAGGCATTAAAATATCTTTAAAATAAAAGGCGTTTAGTATTGGTATCGCTAATGGAAAGGAAATGGAATGATAATTTTAATTCATTAGTTACTCGCATAACGAACATTCCTCTAAGCCTGATTCTTCTGAAGATTTTAAAAAGATCTTCCAGAGGCAGCACTAGTGGCGGGGGGGGGGGGGGGGGGTTTCACATATGTTTTGATTTCCCTATTGACAGTAAAGTTAAACTTACATTATAAAAATGAAATTAACGGAAGATGATGTACCTGGAGAAAAATTGAAATTTACAAAAATTCAAGATAATCTTGTCTGAGATTTAAAACGATGGCTTGCATGCCATGGTTTACCTGTTTCAGGTAATAAAAATGAACTCGTAGAAAGTGACAGTGACAGTTCGTTATATTTATCAAATCATCTTTTTGTATATCATTAAAAATTCCACTCTTTACTATATTTGCTTATCACTTATGCGACCCTCGAAATCGTTAGATAGAAAACAACATCCTCCGGTTGGTATTATTCCTACCAAACATATTACTATATTATTATGAGATTTATAACTAGAATATGTGTTTCCTTGTTGGCTGAAATTTTAAGGCTTTTGCAAATTCCACTCAAAACAATCAGTGATGATACAGATATTTTTAAATTTTCTAAATAATTTAGGGAGACTTATATTTTAATTGTGTCTGCAGAAGGGAAAATATCTGATTTTTTAAACTGTTGATATCTTGAATCAGAGTTGTAAAAATCCTTCAAAGATATCCAATGCTTAAAAAAAAGCACATATCTGCAAGTAATAATCCCGAATGTAGGAATCAATGTCAAAAGAGCTGATTTTTTAGTGATTTTTTTTTGTTGTGACCGTAACGATGTACGACTAGATTTGGGTCCATAGTAAGCCACTTTTTTATTTATTCAGGAACAGGAGGTCCCAGAAATTGCCATAATGTATCAAAATCTTCTGGTTTTAAACCAGTATAATATTTAAACTCTTTAACATTATCGTGACATGAATCTACAATTAAAACTGTGTCCAATTTTTTTCTAAACTTTTAACATATTTTATATACGTTGTAGAGTCATGCTGCAGCTATATTAGTAGTATAGTTGTAGCACGAAAGGGTCGGCCCGACCGGGAAAGAACCACGCTCTCACAGAATACCAGCGTAAAATGGCAGCTTGACACTGTTGTGTTTCGTGAGTGAAGAGAAACGGAGACCCATTTTAATGGAAAAGAGGCATTCCATCTTAGTCGTCATGGGTGACGACACATCTGCATTTTGATTCTTTATTGAGGATAAATGTCTATGGGTCACAGCTACCACTTACCATCAGGTAGACTCGTTTGTCACCCTATCTTATAAGAAAAGGTTTTTTTCTTTACTTTCAATATATTATATTTGAATCGCATCTTCGCGATAAATAATTCAACTTCAAACACTTTTTCTAGTCAACTAGACTCTCAGAAGTGTAATCCGCGAATGAATGAATGAATGTTTGGTAAGAATGAAAATTTATGATTTATATTTTTTATTTTCTTAATTTATTTATTATTATATAATAAGACATGCGTTTAACGTTACTGTCAATAAGGAAATCAAAAAACGTGTAACCCCAACCAGCACTAGTGCTGCCTCTGGCGGATCTTTTTGCATGCTTCAAGCAATTTTGTGGTCTTAAAATGCCTCTATCATAACCATATTGCACTTATAAGATAATATGAGTAGCCGTATATCAAGAAACACTCTAATTAATTCATCTTAAATTTTCAAAAAAATGTTTGTTTCATTTTATGTTGCTACATTGATAAAAAACGGTTTGAAAAAAAAAATTACGTGGACGTCTGAATGTAGATTTTGTATTTTTTTATAGGATAGGGCGACAAACGAGCACACAGTCCACCTGATGGTAAGTGGTTGCTGTGGCCCATAGACATAGTGTTCCTTCCCCGGTCGAGCGGACCCATTCGTGCTACAACTATACTACTAATATAGCTGCAGCATTGCTCTTAAAAACCACGTAAAAATATTATAAATATATTAAAAAAACTATTAGTAAAACCAATTCAGCATGCCTTCGCATTAAAAAAAATTACGTATAGCATGATTATACGGAATTTTTTTAAGTAGTTAAATACACACAAATTTTCACTAATAACCTTATTATACTTCCAATTTTCCGATAATTTTATGTCAAACTTCAATTTGAAAAAGTTTGGAGAATCCAAAGTGCACGACTCATAATGCTCATATGGTCATCATATCATCATTCATGTCACTCCAAAAAGTCCAAGACGTATTCAAGTATAAATATTACATCCTACTTACTTTTAGTACGTACTACTATTATTTATTCTGTGCTTTTAAAATATTGTAATAAAAATCTCTGATTATTATAATAATCAAGTATGTGTGAAATTTGTTTTTCGAATTGCTTGTATTTATTTGTACAGCGATGTTTTTGAGCCGCTGCAAACAACTAATACAGTATCCACTCACAACGGCGATTGACGCCGAACTCAGCGAGCGAGTGAGCTAGCCATAGGCAGTTTCTGTTTACTGAAATAAATTCTAACACAAGGCTGCGAAATCACCGAAAATTTCGCCATTTTGGAGCCCAAACAATTAATTATAGCTAAACAAAACAAAATTACACTGCCATTTACATTCAGTGGCTTCCCACATTACAGATGAAGAGATTAAAAAATAGATTGAGTTAAACAATTGATATTTTCAAAAGTTGTCGTGTTTACAAGCCTTGAGGATTTAATAATTCAACACCATAAGCCACTAAAATCCCTTTTTTATGTAAAAATAGCAATTAATCGATTAAAAAAATATTAATAAGTTCAACAATCATTTATCTTTCTGACAATGTGCTTTTTATATCATTTATATATATAATATGATTGCTGGATACGATTTCATGTGACAAAACGTTGGAATCTTGATTTTTAGGCGCTAGTAGAACATACCTATGCGCTTTGCGCTGGGCATGCAATATTGTATGTCACGATTACTCCCGAAACAAAGACGTCTAAAGACCGGAGTTTTTTATTAGTTTCAGAGTTACATGATCTGGTTCCCTATTTGATATCAATAGTCTAGTACGCATTATAAAATGATTTTCAAGTTTTATATGTTTTATTGCTATGAAAAATTTAAAGGGGCTTTAATTTTTTCTTTAACCTTTGATAGTCAAAGGACAAATGTACCATACAGCCTATATCGCTTTAGTACTTTGTGTAATCGATTTATTTTAGTGATTTAATTATTTTTATCAAAACTAAATAAAAAGCTCATCAGGCGTGCACTTTTGGATTTTTCAAACTATTTAAAACTTCAGAGGAAACAGGCTAATTGTAAATGTTTTGCAAATTTAATTATCTTGCGACAAGATCAATTTATTTTAAAACATTTATTTGTAGAAGTTACTATATATAAAATATACATGCAATATATCTAGATAAAAATCACAAAGAGTGTAAAACAAAATTGGGTCACATCAAGTTTAACCTTGTGTTCTACTTTGAACTCATTTGGACTTCTTCGCTCTCATGAAATAGGTTTACTTAACTTTAAAACGCATCATCTTTAACATTATTATTATTAATGTTTTGTCTATTTTCTAATTAAGTTTATTACAAAAATGTGTCTTCCCTTGGTCTTCCATGCTGCGGATGACTGTTGTTGTGATATTGGTTCTGCCCTTCGGGAACATGAAGACGAACCTTGCGAGAATTGCTATTACATTGATGGAGACGTTGCTTAGGCATCTTTATGCTGTCATCGTTTAGCTGGAAATAATATTTTTACTATACGAGCAATAATAGTTTAACTCATTCATCATCATTATTCGATTAGTTGGCTGAGTAATATTTTAGAAAAATTACACACAACCGTATTAGTAGAAGTAGATAGCCGTGGTGGCGGTGCAAAGAGAATCTATATTGGTGACTTTGGAAAATTACAGAAAGATGTCATGGCTTCCGAAGAATGTCGGAATAGTCCCACTTACGCTGAACTTAAAACCTAGCCAGACCGGCAACGAGGAACAGTGTCAAAGAATGCGAGACGTCGATGTTTTTAAATATGAAAAAGGTATTCATCAACGTCATCATAATCATCACAACAGCCTATCAAAGTTCACGGCTAATATACATAGGCCTCTTCTCGAATTGCCTATAAGGGGGTTATTTTCAATTGTTCCACGTTTGGCAGGCGGGTTGGTAACCACAGTTTTTTTTTATTATTGAGGTGTTATCAGGAAGGTGCCACTGCCCATATTATGTTTCATTTTACCTCTTTCGCTTCTAACGACACGCACGGGATCATAAGGAGTAGTAGATTCACTAACCTTAAAGGTATCTACAAAAAATAGCTAAAACAAATCAAAACTCCTGTGACTAAACTAGGTACTGAATGGTCATTGGTTAAAGTTAAAGTTACAGCCTATATACATCCCACTAAAGAGCTAAGGCCTCCCCTCATATCTGAGTTGATTGAATACTAACTGATTGGTAATTAGTTAGTATTCGGTATCAGATTTAGGATTTTAAAATTAAATGATAGAAAAACTATACGAAAAACGAATAATAACTCAACTTTATTAACACGACATATTTGCAAATAATTATGTTCCTGAGAGCCCTTTGAACAGTTAATGTTAGCTTTACATGAAATACTGTTAGGATAAGTCGAATAAAAGCGGTGTTTATCACACCAAATTTTATAAAAAAATTTTTTTATAAAATTTGGTGTGATAAACAATAATTTTACAGCCCTCCTGATCATAAGTTAACAAAGACAAGTAGGCAATGGTCAACACTTGCCATCGAATGAGCCGCATGCTCATTTGCCCCTACTTCTATTAAAAAAAGGCTAAGGAAACGTTATTATCTCTCAGAACTGAGATGAAATGCCGGTAATTATACTGGCTTTTTGTATCCTTCTGACTGGAATACAAGAGGGAAATTTATTTATATATTTATTATTTATTTTATGCACATAACATATTATAATATTTTTATGACATTTTAAACTAAACATTAAAAGTTATTTCCATGTGATTATAACCAAAAACATGCACACCATGATAAATTCGCATGCTTTGTCAACAATTACAGTTCTCTAATAAAAATCAACGCTTGAAATAATATGCTAACAAAGAAAAATTAAAATGTATTCGTTTTAAAATTATTTTACAACTAGTTGTATATTATCTTTAAACACAAAGCAAATCGATAATCTAAAACATCTACTCTACTTTCTGTACACACGTAATCTCGTTATAAATGCAACGCATTCTGACTATGGTAGGAGGATAACACGAAGCATTGTTTTCATAAACTTGTAAAAATTTTTTTGGACATTTCGTTTCATCTTGTATTAAAATTAAGTAGAGACAACAAGGTAAAATTTTATGTAAGTACAGTACTTTACTGTTCTTTTCGGATCATGTATTTAATTTAATGCATTTATGTATACTGCTTAAAATACATACCCTAATAGTAAGCTCATGTCTGGTTCTTCTGTGTGACGATGTCAGCAACTCCGTGTGAGCCCTAGACTCGTTCCCCGTAGGACTCCCTGTGTTCTTCATCCAGCACCAAAACCATTTATATGGTGGAATGTTCCTGAAGACGATAGATTGATTGAATTCGATATTGTTATATCAATTTCAATATTGCTCAAGTAGTTAGTGTTATTAATTATATGGATCATAATTTTTCATGAGTTTTTAATGTGAAATTTTAAGATTTAAAGATTATAAATTGAAATTCGAGTGGTAATAAAAATATTAATTAATTTATTGGACGACGGCAAATAACCGATTCTAGGAAGTGAAAAAAGAATTTTGCGAAAAGAAACGTTGAAGCAGGACAAACTATTTCTCATTTTCTGTGAAATAAGCAATGAAATAAGTGGTGTAAAAAGAAATAAGTCGAAATTTAAAAGTATAAAAAAAGAAATCCTTTCTGCAAAGACAGAGTGCAGACTGCAAAGTCTACAAAACCGGAGAAAGGTTTTCAAATGCTTGCGATTTATTCACTCTTCTGTTTTATTCAAATAAATATTCATAATCCAGTTTTTCTTTATAATTTATGCGACATCAATAAACAGTAAATAATTAACATCTTTTGTCATCGAATGAAACTATTTAATATGGTCGTCAAAGAGACAGATACAGTTCATGCCTCCCGGTAGTCATGTTATTCGTCGAATAAAGTCTAACGATTGCAAATTTCATTTATTTGCTTTGTCGAATAAACGCAATTTGTCTGTTTATCTGTAGATTGCGTAATCGACCCAAGTTAATTGAAGTACCTTTTAATAGAAAACAGGTAAATTGCACACCCTTAAGTAAGAGAAAAATTGTGTTTACATAATTTAAAATATAATACAGTCGTAATCAGCACTCCCGCCTTTTTGTTTAAAATTTAAAAATAATTTAGTATGCCTTTTATAACAAAATAATCGTATTTCTTTTGTTTTTTTTTTTTTAAGTTTATGAAGGCATGACAGCGGCGTCGTAGTACGCTGGTACAGCAAAACTTGTAAACAACACGTGAATCGTGCACCGATGACGCCATCCAGCGCGCCACTTGATTTCCCCCACCACCTCACAATTCGACTTCTTTTGCAACGGGTATAAAACGACCGCTCAGCTACGAAGTGCGCCTGCGCCCTCTTCTCCCAAAATCGGATCTCTTTTTTCTCGAAGCCTCTTTGCTGGATCGGAAGCGACCCTCGCTTCCGATCCAGCAAAGAGGCTTAATCAGCCAATTGCCAGTCCCCAAAGTGGAGTTTAGTGGGTATCACTTAGGTTCCCCAGTAGGTAGTCACAGTGAGTCCGACATAACCACGTCAGACCGGCTGTCGTGGTATGCATAAAGCATTCTCCACTTCCTCGCGTATCGGGGTAGCCCTTTCCAATTGCTTCTGGGTGCGAAAAAAAAAAACGAAGTGGGCAGTCTCATTACTGTATATATACTAGGTCTCGGCTCTGGCGTGACTAGGTGCAATGGTTGTACCAAGCTAGCTTATCCTAGACGTTCACAGATAATTAATTTGAAATTAAAAGTCTCCGTTTGAATGCTAATAAAACTAAGGTTCTGGTATTTGAAAGGGACGAATAGAGAACGAAGTGTGAAATATGGGTAAATCAGAACGGGTAAATGAAATTGTATACTTGGGGAATGCTTTTAGCCGGGATGGAAGGTGTGATTAGATGTGGACAGGCGTGTCGCTGCCGGGAACAAAGTCAATGGTGCCCTGACTGCGTTAGTCAAAAGGCAAGGCGTAGTGAAGAGTGCACGCCTTGCAATACATAACACAGTGTTGGTACCGACTTTGTTATATGGCAGCGAAACCTGGGTATGCCAGAAGAAACAGTGGAGATGTGATCTCTTCGTAAAATGTGTGGCGTTACCATGGTCGACCGAAAGCGAAACGAAGAGATTCGCAATGTGGCAGGTTTGAAAGATGAACTTATCACAAAAATTGATAAGGGCGTGCTTCGGTGGTTTGGGCACGTTGAGCGAATGAGTGAAGACCGAATGGTGAAGAAAATATATAGCGCGAAAGTTAATATTAAAAGGTGTCGAGGTAGACCGAGACTAACTTTCGAAGACCATGTGAGCAAATTGCTCGAAGAGGGTAGGGTCAAGAGTACTCGGATACCTAGATGTGCATGTATGAAGAAGATAATGAATCTGAAAGAAGCGAAAGAGGTATGTAAGGATCCTGACACTTGGCGATCTGTTCTCTCTGGCTACCCCGTCAGGGATTGTGCGTGAAGATAAGTAGTAATTATTATTATTAGTTATAAAAGTGGCCTGGTGCAATTTACAATTAATAAAACTAAATATTAACTTGTAATCCCTGACCTCTTATTCTGCATGGCCGACCCCTTTTTCTTACATCAGAAGTGGGATCGGCTCCACCCCCACTCCATAATGTCTTGGCTACGTACACTTGGCTAAAGTACTTGAAAAAAAGTAAGAAAATAAATGGTTCTTACTATCATTGCAGGGCTTTTGCCGGTCCAATGATATCGCTACTGAGGAATCATGATTTCAGATTAGCATAAACGGTACTTGCAAAAAAAAGAGAAAATAGAAAAAAGAATGATTCTGTTTAAAAAAAAAGAGTTTTGAAGGGCATATTGCCGGACCAAGACTGATTAGTGTTGCAGGGTTCAAAGGAAACGGTCCAATATAATTGCCTGAAGGGTCGATATAGACCAGACCAGAGCTGATTATTAATATCTGCAGTGTCATTATAAACTGGACCGGAACATGTTGCTGAATGTGTAAAAATTTATGGTTTTTGTTAGGATAATCAAGCGATGCTTATTGGTTCAGAACGATAATACTAGACTTGTTTTGCAACTGGTATAAAACCGAGCAGTTATAGAGCACGCTCTGCGCCCCCTTTCTCCAAGGGGGGGTCGATTCCGATACGGCAGAAAGGCCCTCCAGGCTAAAGCCAGTGCCAGGTGGTGTTTAGTGGGTAGGCACTTTGGTACATAGTGAGTCCCGCACAACCAGCATACCACGCAGCCGGCTGCGTGGTATGCTGAGAGCATTCACCAGCTCCCTCCCCCGCATCCCGCAGGGTAGCCCTTTACTTTGCATCTGGGCGCAAAAAAAAACTCGGCTCTGGCGTGAATAAGTGCACTGGTTGTACCAAGCTAGTTTATCCTAGACGCTCACGGATAATTAATTTGAAATTAATTATTATCATTAATGGTATAAGTGCCCTGGTGCAATTTAAAATTAATAAAACTAAATATTATCTTGTAATCCCTGATCTCTTATTCTGCATGGCCGACCCCTTTCTCTTACCTACATATTATATTGAATTTGGAATTCAACTGGAGTTAAGCTAGCAGTTTCAAATGTGTCAATTGTGTAGAATAAAAATAAATACGTACCTAAGGCTGAGAAATATCCTGTTGGAAAATATAAAGTAGATAACCGGATTTGCAGCAGAGTTGAGCGGAGCGAGGCTTTGGATGAGCGATGCGATGGCAATATTGACTTGTGTGTCTGGTACGTAACCATAAACTTGAAGTAGATCGAAGATCATGTACGGCGACCAACATAGAACGAACACTAAAAATGTCACAATTAAATGTAATTTACGGATAAATATGTGTTTAATAATATTTAAAATTATAAATAACCATAACATGTTATTGGGTAAACTTTAAATGATAAGAAATTGTACATGTAATATTGCATTATTTATTATACGGTAGAGGCCCATAATATATATCAGTAATCTGCAACGAACTGATAAACAAAAGTACTGTGACATACTTTAAACGACTCTAATTTTTCAAAGGGTTACAGAGCAATAAGTCGCGCTGTTCCGTTCCGTTCCGTTGTCGGAGGACTTCACATGTCTTCAAAATGATATATTTCTTAGACATGCAGGTTTTATCTGGATATTTTATCATCGCAGAGCAAGTGTTACATTGAAATTAACAACTTTACTGGTGTTAAAACCCGGATTGCTCTCGCTATGTTATTGCGATCGCTTGGCCTCTGAGCTTCGACTTTGACTCTCTATTTATAATATGATTTGTTGAACCAAGAAGTTTTTGGTACTGCAAGTGTTGTTTTTGCCGTTTATAGTATTTGCAGTGTCCAGCTAATTTTTAATATATTGTATTGTATTTAAAATCGCTATAATTACGATGTACAATTTAATTCAAAAGTGACATCAAAAACTCGTTAACATTGATTCTTTGATTGAACATGACTTTAAAGTAGCCTAAAAGAATATCTTGTAATAGATAGTATTTGAACTGTAAAACAATTTAGATACGATTAATATGAAAGTTATGGAAAAAATATAAAGGCTGAATTCAAATACTGTATTTATAGGAATTTATTTAAATTTACAACGGTCCCTTACAGTCGCTAAAAATGACGGTTCCGTCCGCTCACGCTCTATTTGATCATTAAATATTTCAAAGTATTAAGTACTTTTAGCTATAAATATTTTTTGCAAACTTGAGAAAATCTCGTATTTGAAAGTTATTGTATGTACCAAAAATATTTATAAAAGGTGAATAGTATGTAGAAATATTAAAAACATATTCTATGCTCAGATTTATTCCTTATTAATAGTTTTAATTATTTTTAATACAATAATAATAATAAATGATAATTTATTTTTCGCTTTTGGCGTGACTTGTGGGTAACTGGGATCTTTTTTCGGACGGAAGTAACGTGAAGTAAAATCTATGGTCCGTTTACGCAGTTTCCGCAATTGTTACGACAGCGACTTACTACTATAGTACTTCGTAATTTTATATTATACATATTGTCCTCCTGACACTAACTCAAAATAATAAAAAATGCGGTTGTCAACTCGCCTGCCAAGCGCAGCAAGAATGGCATAATCTTTAGATGCCTAGGATGGACACATATGTGTACTTAAATGTCATTCTTTTTTCAAATATATGATTAAAATATAAAAATTATAAATAAATAAAAAAAAAGTTATATCGGTAAACTATACTTCAACCGCGCGTAAAGGTAACCTTTAACGTACTCACTTTTTAATATTGCTGCTATTAATATTATTACATTAAAAGTTAATGATTGTGTAATAATTTTGAACATACTGCATTAATTAGAAGGCTGTGGGACATTTTATCTTTGTCTTCAAGATGTACACCACATGTCCACTATGTCCATTTTTGTCTGAAGTGGGTTGCAGGACTGCAGTATTCACTTATTAAGTACTGGTGATCGAGTGATAGATTTCATTTTATTCAATAATCACTTATTTTTTTAAAAGATCTTACCAAAAACAATTACAAAAGTCATCTTGACAGTTTTTATTTTTGCCTTCGGAATTATACCACGACTGCTCGCCCGGCGGCTGTCCAAGTCATCACTATCTGCAGAAAAGTATCTCGGCATAAATATTAAGTAGACAAAATGGGTAGGTACCACTCTCTTGACTTTGTGTGAGGCATTCCATCTTAGTTCTAAGAGGTGACAAAGCATCTGTAGCCTTATTTGCTTGAAGTTGGTTGCTGGGTGTCCATGGATTGCAGTAGCCACTTATCATTAGGCTGACTGCAAAGTCATTTGTCACTTCAGTCTTAAAAAAAAAAAAAAAGTGACTTTACATAATTTATCGATTATAGATAAATAAGTTATAATCTATACCTTTATACGTCTCAGCATAAAAAATGGATTTGTATTAGATTGAGCTCTTCTTTATTTTTTAACAATTTTTATATTTATAACAAAGTAAAAGTATATCAAAGTATAACAAAGTTAAAAAAGTAGCACAATTATTTCAAAGGAAAGCGTTATTTACATTCAATTATAGGCTCTCTAGTTAATCCTGACATAATGAAAATATAAATTTATTTAAGTAAAATCATAGCGATTATTCTTAAAGAAGCTTTGACCCTTACTCCGTAGTTTGCAGTCAAGTCACGATCCAATTAATTTCCCACGATATTCTTCTCGTTTAACTGTTTCACTTAATTAATGACTGAACACGCTATTTATGTTTATGCAGCTTGTATTATTAGTTACTTTATAAGATTTTTTACAAACTTCAATCAGTTAAAATTTAAGGCTAGTTGTGGACAAATTACATACTAATTGGTAATTTAGTATAAGTTTTATATATAGCGGACATACAAAATTAAAAATATATTGTACACATTAGCGCCTGTCGGCATTGGATGACTTCCCGTAAAAAAATAAAATGGCCGGGCACATGAGGGGATATATATTTTTCAAGGCAAACAGACAGTATAAGTAGTAGATATTAATGGAATTTATACGTGGTAGAGCCACGCTGCAACTATATTATGGTAGTAGTACGAATTGGTCGGCTCGACTGACGAGGATCACGCTCTCATAGAATACTAGAGTGAAATAGAAACTTAATGCTGCTGTGTTTTATATGATGAGTGTAGAGAACTAAAACTGCCCTCAGAGGTACAATGCATCTGTATTTTGATTCTTAATCGAGGATGGATTCCACTCCACTCCAGACTCCAATCCATTCACCATCAGGTGGGCTGAACGCTTGATTGTCATCCTTTTTATATATATTTTTTTTTATTATGGGATGAAACTAGAAATTAATCTTAATGGTTAATACCAACAAATAAATTGTCACGAAGCGATGCGTCTGTTAGTGATCGTGTAACTTTTGAACGATTTGACCAATTGAGATTTTGGCGCGAATATGTTCATAGCTAGTATTGATCTATTATAAAAAGTAATATGCTTTTGAAATTTATCATAAGTTATATAATATTGATTGAAAAAAGCACTTACATTGTCTAGTAGCACCAGTTCTTTTACCTAAAACTCTTCTACTCTTCTGCCGTATTGTAACTACAATAACACCGTAGCAAGCGGATATCGTAAGAGCAGGTGCTACAAATAATGAGACAAAAACGCTTGTCATCCAAATTTGCCACTGTAGTTCGTTGATACTTGACCAACATTGGAGAGTACCTGAGAAAAATGAAAATTTTGTTAGTGTTACGGTACTAGTGTATACAGGCTTCCTCTTCTTTCTGCCAGGGCTATAAAGCTATTAGTTCGCATGCTGCTCCATTGAATGTTGACAGACTTTGCATGTCTTCGAAATATTTCAACCCTAGACTTAAAAATTTCCTGACGATGTTTGTCTTCAACGCCAATCACAGTGATAAAACAGCACTTAACAATTTTATTGCATATAAGCGACTTTAAATCAAGATACCGTTTATCATTAGTTTTCTACTGGGAGCTCGCCCTACACTTGCATATTTTGTGAGGCTGCTACTTCATAAACCCTTTTTCCAATCGAATGTTGGTTCTTATAGGTCAAGCCTATTGCAACTTCAACACACTGATCCGTTATAGTTAGTCAAATGCTTTTGTTCTACTGAGACACATTTAGACCTCGGGTAACACTAAAAACAAAAAATATAATACCTAGTTGCTAGTTACTCTATACTTATGACCTTCCAATATGAAGTACAGCAGCGTCTTTGAGAATAGGAGAGGAAGGAGGAATATTTGCCATGGTTGCCTCGCTTGTAGTGTCAGTGACCGAAGTTTTCATCACTTTCAGTTGTTATCAGAAAGATGCTGCTGCACATATCCTATTTCATTTCCCTCTTTCGCCCCTTACGACAAGCAGGGGATTATTTGAGTTAGTGGATAACTTATTACTTGGCCATTACTCAGCGATTTTACTGTATCTGTTTATACAATGAGGGTGAGAAACGAGCACACAGTCTACCTAATGGTAAGTGGATGTTGTGTATGAGTACATGATTGTTAATAACCGCTCAATTTCACCATTACACATCGAGATAAAACTCGAGATACCATCTTTATCATCTGTATGATTGGCGGTCCACTGTGCGATTACAAGAAATTTTTTTCCTCGCACAATTTCTTGTGGAATCGACTACCATCAGCATTTTTTCCGGACCGATACGACTTAGGGACCTTCAAGAAAAGAGCCTACTCCTTTTTAAAAGGCGGGCAACGCATCTGAAATTCCCCTGGTGTTCCAGTTGTTCATGGGCGGCGGTAATCACTTACCATCCGGGCAACCGCATGCTCCTTTACCCCCTCTCATATTAAAAAATATAGATATTTTAGAAATAGATTTTTTGGGAATCGATACATCAGCTTACAATTCGAATCTATTTAAAAAATCGATATTTTTCGGAAAGAATCGACTTCTCTACTAACAATAACAATAAAAAATGGCGTCAGTTTTATTGTAGGATTAGACATAAAAAATGCAAGAATAATTGATTTTCAATAACTTTTTCTCAGAAATTACGCGCTTCCGCATATTGTAACTTTGTGTGTGTGCTTATAATAGTGTAACTTTTCTGTAAAAATACGTATCAACTCCCAACTCGATGGGAGTCAATGGAAAGTCGTACCAAAAAAACCCTGTTGCCATGTTGTTTCTAAATATTTTCATTAAATATAACATAAACATAATTCAACTAATTGTACAATGTATTATATTTTAAACTAATATTTAAAAAAAGAGGCCCGCTGGGTATTTTGCTGGTTCTTCCGAGGACAGATATTTTCCGAACTTGTTGTAAACACTTAGATAACTTCTAATAATAATTCTTGTAATTTGTATTGCATGAAAAATATTCTGTTCTGTTTTTATGGCACCTAAACTTTCTCTGCTAGCTCGTTGTTGACTGTTAGAGAATGCCTAAGGGCATTAAGTCCACCAATGGTATACTTTATGTGCAATACGAGTAAAGATTCTTAAATAAAAATTACATAAATATTTAATAAAACTTTACTTGTTTAATTTAAAAAATCATGATAAATAATGTTTATCATCTGCTTACCTTCAATATTTGCTTCATCGAAAAGGAACAGCATCGGTATGCAGAACAGAAAACTGACTAACCACGCACTTACTATTAGTGCTCTTGCGCGACGCCCTAAAATACAAAATGTTAGTAACAATATCAAGGCGATGTGATGAATATGAGTGAATAAAAAATATATATGCATAAAAAGTACGGCACTTTATAAATTTTTTGAACCTGTAAAAATATACTGGAATATAATTAAAGCGCATAAACAAAATCATTTTATAAAAAAATTATAACAAAATCGTAAAATTTAAGTATAAAGACAGAAACGCGAATTATTTGCGTTGTTTAAAATTATAATTAACTCGATAAGTATTATAAAAATGACACTTAAATGCTATTTAAACGTGTACGTGATAGCAATTTCTGCAAAGGTAGAGATTAAAAAAAAACTATGAAAACTCAACAAAAAAGTTGTAATATTTTGTGAGAAAATATTTTATAGCTTCGTTTTTATTTTTAATGTATGTAAAATCAATAAAAATAATCGAACAGTTTTAGTGCTTGATGGAATATGTGTTGTTTCACATTCCATTATCCCAAAATTATTATTGTTGCTTATTAATCTTTTTCCTTAACATCGACACCTCACTCGTTTAGATATTGCTGCAAAATAAACAATCTCAATACTTATTTGAACTATTTTAATCGAGTCCTCGCTCACTCACTCGTGATTTGATTCGTATTGTCAGATATAAGCGAGGTCGTTAACGAGTGAGTGAGGTGGTTCAATGTTTTAATTTGAGTAACTCTTTCAATTTGCCATCACGAGGACCTCAAACGAGGTAACTTATGAGTAAGGAACACATCACTACTCTGTAGCTTTGTACCAGTGTCCACAAAGACATCATGAAGGTTGGACGTAGGTCGTTCGACTCTTGCGGAGAGTGAGGTAACGTTTCATCTAAACGCCATTATACAAGACGGCCTTAACAAAATAAATTTCAGCTTAATTTTTAGCATTTGTCTTAAGATATTTAAGGAGTTTTATTTTGTAAAGGCAATACGTTGCAAGAAATAAGAATAACTAGAAGCAGTCCTGTAAATATTTCTTTATCTTAATAATTATTGGACTGCAAAATTTCAACAGTTTCACTCAAACAACCACCACCACTACCACCGAAACTAGGTAACTATTACACTAAATGCAATACAATGGTCTACTGCTGAACTCGGCTGACTCGATAGTTATCAATCGTTTTCAACTTTAGTGGTATTTTAGGATGTTCTGGTGATATTTATATAGGTGGGAGCATCAATGCACGAACTTATGGAGAGAACGACAATGTTCATTAAACTCGAAGGTATTTTATATTTGAGAACATATAAAAATAATTGTAGCTACAATACAATGCAACCCAAGAAAAATTTGACATAAAACAATTTACAATCAATATTCCTAAATAAAAAGAATACAAGGCTGTGGCTGTGTGATATTTCCCTGAGGCAGACTCAGGGAAAAATCATAAGCAGTCTCGAATAGAGAAACTTATATTCTTGTAAATAATATTAAGACTTAAATAAAGAAATAAAATATGGAACATTATCTTTTTGTTTTAATTTAAATAATACTCATAAATATATTGAATTTAAACAAATGAGTGCGAAGATTTAAGGCATAAGTGAATAGGTTTATGTGTAGGTGAAACTGTAATCAAGCAGAATGCGCATAGCAATGCATGACTGAAGAATATTTGATAATAACATTATGACATTTACATTTAATTGTAATCATAAAAAGAGCGATGAAAAATAATAACTAAACAACTAAACAATATAAGAATGAACTCGTAGACTGCATACTACATTCCAACATTATTTTATATCTTGTAGAAGAATATAGTGGCAAATTATTATTTTTTTGCAAATAAAAAATTTACACGCGAATGTTCGCAAATTAATTTTAACTTTCATTCCTGCAAAGTAATAATACTGTTAAATTTTTATTCACTGACTAACGTTCGGCTCAATGAAGTAAATAAATTCGTGAGTCACTAAGCTAATTTATCAGAGACCGAAAGACTTCTGGCATAGCGAATTTTACGATACCTACAAGACGTAATGGGGTGTCACTGACGTCACATATTATAGTAATAATAATAATGTAGAAAACTTTAAATAACAACACAAACGTATTCCATTATTTGTTGGGTTCCTTTATAAGTTTTTATATCCCGTATAAACTTTGAGTCACTGATCGTGATGTTTAAAGTTTAGTGATTTCAGTGATACAGTAATATTAATTTAAGTGTGCTTTAAAACCAATCTTATTGTTATCACTTTAATTAAATTATTTGCGCGCAAGTTTGCTTTAGAAAATAACAGTCAACTTACAGCTTCCCGTAAAATTCATTGGATGCGTTATAGCGTCGCATCTATCCACGCTGAGTGCAACTAAAACGTATGTAGAGGAATACGTAACTACACCCTAGAAAGAAGGAACGTGTTAGAAATAATTTTGTCGTAAATATTTCAGTGTTTTTGCTTGAAGCCAACTCCTTGTAAAGCAAAAGAACTTTATTAAATTAAATTTCAAACCTGTAAATACTTCATCAATTTGCAAGCGATCGATCCAGCCAACCAAGATATCGTTATTCGTTGTATTAAATCAGGGAGAACACTTATTAACCCCACCCATAAATCTGAAACAATTTGTTTATATTATCAACATTTTAACGTTATTCTAGTATTAAATTAAAATAATATTTACGGATTTTATCGCGTTTAATTTAACTTTTTAATTCCCGACGTTTTGGGTGCTTTACAGCACCCGTGGTCACGGGGGGGACTGAGGTAGCCGGGCTAACTATGACATCGGGACGTCAAACACATCAGTCCCCCCAATGATCACGGGTAGTCTTCGCGTAAATATAAGAAATCTTTATTCTAGTAATTAATCTGTTTACAATATTACCTGCTATAGCTAGCTGCATGATGAAGAAGTTCATCCGACTCTTCCTGGACTTAGTAAGAAGTAATGCCAAGACCACGGTGGCATTTCCAGCGACGATCGCCACCAGTAGCACCCACAATACAGCCAACTGTGCGGTCTGGTAAAAAATTAATGACTAGTTTAATAAATTAAACGCAATATAAAAGATTTTGCCGCCAAGCAGCAGTGACCTAGTTACACTATTTTCCTTGTGATTGATATAATGTGTAAGAGTTACCTTAAACGACGAGCATGTATGCGTAGATATATGGATGTAAAGGGGGCGAGAAAGGTGTGTCAGGATCGTGTCAAATGGAAGTCCGTACACGCTGCCTACCACTCCGGGTGGCAGACGTGAGTGTTTATGTATGTATGTATTTAATATAATGTACTTAAATAAATTTGTAAGTCCAAAAAAGCACAACTCGATTCCTTACATTACAGTGACAGCAGCAGTTACATATTTTTATAGCACAAGGTAATCGAATAATGTTATATAATTATAGTACAATATAATTAAAATACTAATGTTGTAGTTTTTTAGGGTTCCGTACCTCAAAAGGAAAAAACGGAACCCTTATAGGATCACTTTGTTGTCCGTCCGTCTGTCTGTCTGTCTGTCTGTCAAGACCCTTTTTCTCAGGAACGTGTGGAGGTATCAAGCTGAAATTCGTATCAAATACTCTGGTCTACTGTTTCTTGAAGCTGTGAAAATATCAAACTACTAGGCCAACGCAATCAAAAAATACAGCCGTTTATGCCGCAAATTTTCGACATTCGCAAAGGAATCAAAACCTACAGGGTACTTCCCGTGAACTGAGAATCTTGAAATTTGGTACGAAGCAACGTTTTATAGCACAGATAAAGGAAAAATTGCGAAAAGCATACATTTTTATTTACATCATATAATAAATTTTTTAATAATTTTAAACTAGTATACCTACGGATTAGTTCGGAACCCTCAGTGCGCGAGTTCGACTCGCACTTGGCCAGTTTTATTTTATTTTTAGACCTTGTTCATATTTTATAGTAATCGCCTTAACTTAGTTCTTCACTATTTAATATCGAAATTAACAAAGGGATGACATTCTTTTAAAAGTAATGAAATTTAATTTTTATTAGCGTAAAATTATTGAGCCAACATTTAACCACATATGAAAATAAAACACTTTTAGGTTAGTGCGATGTGCATGTTTTGGACTGCAAACTATTTTTTATCAATTGAGCTTAAAAAGTTCCTGGTAGTTTCCAATTAATTTATTTATTAGATAATAATCTACTGAAATAAAATTAATGCGATCTAAAACATGATATAATAAATTAAAACAGTCAATACGTGGTAGAGTCATGCTGAAGCTTTTATATTAGTTGTAGCACGATTGGGCCGGCTCGACCGGGGTTGGGCCACGCTCTTACAGAATACCAACGTTACATAGCAGCTTAACGCTGCTGTGTTTCGTATGTTGAGTGTAGTGAACTGGAGACCCTTTTTACTGGAAACGAGGTATTACATCTTAGTCCTCAGGGGTGACAACGCATCTGCTTTAATCGAGGATAAATGTAGATGTCTATGAGCCACAGCATCCACTTACCATTAGGTTGACTATATACTCGTTCATCCTTATATTATAAAAAAAAACTGTCTGTCAAAACAATAACCTATAAAATATTGTTTGTTTAACACTACTAACCTCGCTTGTAAAATATCGTCGTTAATAAGAGTAAAATATAGTTCGAAAACATTTTTGAAACAATAAAATTTAACCCCCAAAGAAAACATATTAAATTACTATCATTAAATGTCCATCAAATTCAGGTTTTGCAAAATGTTACGCTTCAACCCTTTTAAATGAGATACTTAACTTAATATCATTCTTGAAGAGGATAAACAATTTGAATAACGCGGAGGCTACTAATTTTGGTACAATTGATAATATTAAAGCGATTTCAATTTTTTTTAATAAATACTATGGACTCACCCCGTCATCGTCTTAAGTTGGATCTATTATTGTGGGACATACCATTTATTTTATAACTTTTTAGACTCCACAAGAAATATGCAAGCTTTTTAGATACAGTTTAACCTAAATCACTTCTGGCACTACTCGCTATCTATTTATTCATTAAGTTTCATCGCAATCGGTTTAGCCATTCCGAAGACTAGCCTGGACAGACAGACAGAAATATACAGAAATAGTATGCAAATAACCCCCTGAGCTTAATAAAAGGCTTGAGGCTTCTACGGTTCATACGGTGCCACAATTTGAAGGCGAATTCACATAGATCTCAAAGAGGTACGCCGAAAAGTAACATAATACAACAATACACACGTTTTTTTACGTAGTAGAGCCATGCTGCAGCTATATTAATAGTATAATTGTAGCACTAATGGGTCGGACCTCGCCGGGGAAGGACCACGCTCTCACAGAATACCCGCGTAAAATATCAACTTAATGCTGCTTTGTTTCGTATGGTGTGTGTAGAGAAATGGAGACCCATTTTACTGGAAAAGAGGCATTTCGATTCGCATACGAAGATAGATGTAGATGTCTATGGGCCACAGCAACCATTTACCATCTGTGGACTGTGTGCTCGTTTGTCAGCCTTATCCTATAAAAAAAATAGTTTCCGAGATATCTACACTCAAAAAGATAAGTCAAGGAAAAGATACAGTCAATTAATATTGACTTACACAAGGAGAATATATTTAAAATATAAAAGAATGCTAAAATAAATATAACTTTAGTGTATATTATATTTTTTCAGAAAACAATCATCAGTGGGTCTCAAAAACATACTTTCAAAACTAAACAACGAGATTAAAAGGGAAACTGGACCGTAGTCCACAGCAAAATAACTGGCGAACCAGTAAAAGAGGACTTGGCCCCTTGATAGTGCGTAAGCACAAACATCGACCGAAGTCGCGCATGTCAATGCGTGTAAACGCCATACAGAATACGATCAAATCCAGCCACAGTGAATGTACGTCACACGGTTTAGGCAACAATCGGCACACTGGCCATAAAAAGCCCTCCGTGAGCGCCACCACCTGCCAGACCGCCGTTCCTGCAGACGTGATGTTAAGTGTAAGGCATCACTACCAATTGCATGGTCAGCACGGCCAATTGGCCGCAGAGCGTGTCATGAGTCTACCGCTCACCTCAAGGGAATGGGGTCCCACGTTGCGCGGCTTTCGGCCGCAGCCTTGAGAGCCTCCTCAGATTCTCCCTCCAGCTACCACCCGCATGAGGTCGACACATATGCTCCACCAACCAATACAATGGCAGATACAGCCAATAGGCAGTTATAAGATAATAGTAATAATTCGCCATCAGAAAGGGTTTGTGTCACTGACGTTGAGTATATGCATTTTTCGATCATGTTTGCCTCACCCACCAACAAGTTGCCTTCAATCTCTCAAAGGTGGGAACTTTATAGAGATATATTATTAAGTTGTTATATAAAACATCATGGAGGGCAGACAGTCTGCAGCCCCGCAATGAAGGGACCCGACTTGGGCAAAGCTACTTAGGTTGTGAGTCAAACCAAGACGCAGAGAGCGCCATTGAGAATAGCGACCCGCCAAACAACCATCGTAGAGACGCTATGCTACAGAATGCAACAAGCATCAATACGACTATCGTCGGGCTTACACCATCCCAAGGTCCCCCATACAGTACCAGCAGACATCACCACCCGCATACCTCCATCGACCAGAACCACAAGATGCATCGAATCAGGTGCAGCACACCCGCAGATCCATCACAAGACACAATACTGCAAGTAGCAGTAAGCATCAATGCAACTATCATACGGATGGCGCCCCCTCACAACACACCCACATGATCCCCCTATCGACTTTGGTAACAAAATTTGATAATGTTGTTAACTAAAAATACCACCAACGTATCATAGTAGTACGGTACTAAGACGTTAGTAGCCAAAACTCCACGTATCATAGCGCTATTGCACTAAGACATGAAGTTGAGTATGCTTGCTGCACTTAAAAGTACTACCAAACACACTCACCCTAATCCGAAAGATAGCCGACGTATCATAACGCTATGCGCTAAGACGCCGCCCACAACCGGTAGGGGTGTGCGATGTCCACGGGCAAGTCGTATTGCTACAACAAACCCGCTTACCACCGGCACTAAGATGATATGTCTAGGACACATCGGTTAGTGAGTCCAAGTTTACCTCGGTCTCAGAGGCTGCGAAGCAACCTACACGCCACTATAATAATCCTTTTCAAGTCCCATTTCTTTCAATATAATGCTTTTACATATTTGAGACCTTCCACATATTTGCTTTAATTCATAGACCATACTACTGTATGTCTTATTCATATGGGACTTCAAGTCATAACTCTGCTATCATAATGCTTATGCATCATAGAGACCTTCTATATTAATGCTTTGGTTCGTCAGACCTTACTATGTTAAGTCCCTAATATAGGACTAGTCATTGTGCAACCTTAGTACTAGCAGTCGGTCAGCCGACCACCCCATATATATGTATAACCTTGGGTATGTGTCTCCGACAATGCCCCAATATAAGGGAACATTACAAGAACACGTTCATTAACTTAGAAATTTTCCAATTATTACACGAACACCTTCATCAACTTAGAAAAATTTTAATCCATTTTTTCTATTATATTACAAATGTTATTTATCTTTGTTATTGCAATATAATCGCCTTGTATTTATATGATTTGATACATTTTTAACATTTTAAGCAGGTTTTTAATAAATTTAGAGATTTTTAGAGACATTTTATGCGTTTACTAATATATATAATATTCAATATTCCAAATGGATATTTTTGAACTCTATGCTTATTATTTGCATTTTATTGTTTAAATTATAATTTCTAAGACATTTTTAAATGTCTGTATAATGAATTTAATTATTATTTATTAATAATAATTATGAGGCGTCACAATATGTAACACAAAAAATTTATATTTTTTGTTTTTGTTTTAATTTATACCATTTTCATTTTGCAAATTTATTACATTTACTTTTTCAAGAGTCGATTTGTCAAGTTCTGTGTGGCAAATGATTATCATGACGACACTGACAAAACAGGAGTAATAAAAAGAGATTTTTCTCA